CATTTCTACTATAATAGCTACTATAGCTTCAGCCACCAGTCAGCCTTCTTCTCAAACTAACAATAATTCATCTAATTTTCATCCATCGATCCTTCCCCAAATTCAGTGAAAGAGGTCTCCTTAAGCCCAAAGATCTCTTTCTAAACTAAATCCAGTTCTACATTATTATATCCATCAGAGAACCAAACCAAAGACCAACAAATTCAGTTCCCAGGGACCTGAAAACCACAAAGTGATAGGAAAACCCTAGAGGTGACCATAAGAGCAACATTAAGGACAGTATTTATAAAGGTCATATATAACTAATCAAATATCCTATACAAATAAACAAACAGCCTAAGACCCACTCACACTTGAGGATAAATTTTTAAAAGTGGTTATTCCCTCTAAAGCTCTGTTCGCTACTGAACAGTAGTACAAAACAACACTTGGCATTTTCGCATATTTACTTTAATCCACTGGTTAAAGCTTGAGGAAGACAAATAATTTTGGTGATTTAAAAAACTCTGCTTAGTTTTTTTTCAGTGGAAATAACTGCAAAGTGCGGTAGTCTCCCATATACCTAACAATCACCAGGAACTTCAGAGAATTAGATGAGATTTCTACCTGGCAAAGGCTCTAAGTTTCTTCATATTTTATCTGTGGGGGACCCTGAAATTCCATAAATTGTAAAACTACTATAGTAACAAAGAATTCATTACCTTCTGTACGATGATACCAAAAGCTGTAGTTATCACACAGATAAAGTAAAACCACATCCAGATATTCTGTCATTGAATTTCCCCCAAATTTCAATGAATAATAAATAAGGTGGATAAATGAGTAAACAGGAGTCAGAACTAGTTATCCATGGTCCTAGTAGTTATAACCAGCAAAACAGGGAGAGAGAAACCTGTTACCTGACAGCCTGAGCAAGGATGAACAACAGAAAGCAAGTCCATAAAACTTGCCTGTTTTTATCAAATTGATTGTAACGTGTGAGCTGCAATATTTGGGACCGAACTATCTCAGTTTATAGTTTTCTGTGCCTGCCAAAAACAGATGCAGACTACCACACTAGCTGTCCTGCAGAAACTAAATTAAGCAAAGGCAAATACCAAGTGGAAAGTTGTCAGTCTGCTGAATGAATGGCTTCATTTTACACACCAGAGACTATCTCAATAAGAATACGTTTTAATGTGCACCAGTCATTTTATTTTAAGTGCATCACTTATTTCAAAAACAATAATTTTCCCTTTAAATTAATTATAAACACCTGCCCATAACTTTCTTAAAGTCTATTTTACACACAATAGCATAGTGTTATTACATTATTGTTTGCTACCCAAGTAGTGAAGTAAAAAAATAATTTCTATATTATATGCATTATAAAAAAAATTTAAAGGCCAGTTATTGATATCTGTGCTCATTTCAAAGTCAAAATAAAGTTCTAGCTCAAAAACAATTTTCTACCAGTCTTTTTAAAAATGTCAGTAACACTTATTTACTTCCACAAAGAAGGTAAGAAAAGAGTTTATTAAAACTTAACACCTTTTAGCATATCTTAATAGGAATGTGCAGATCATTAACAGCAAATTGTGATCTTTATTTCTCTCTCTCTCTGTACACACACACGCACACACGCGCACACACATCAAATAATAACAGTAATAGAAACATCATTGAAATACTAAGATCTTAAAAGCAGCTTTTCCACAGATGCATCCATTTCCCTGTTTTGAAGGTTTTCCTTATGAATGAAGATTCCCTTGTACTCTGGAAATCAGAGTAAACTCAGGAGTAGTATGTGACTTAAAAGAAAAGAAAAAATACTGAAAATATGGAAGAGGCATGTGCAACTCACTTATGACTAACACACTATTACAGATTCTAACCTGTTTTCAAGCAAAAATTTTATTAAATCATTTAAAACACTAATCATCAGAATGCTGAGCTCTAAAATCAACCTCAGATCTCACAACTACTGACACCTTTCTCCTTACTTTTCATGTTACCTTTCAGAGACAAAGGACAACATCTAAATAGCAGCAGACTCCCCTACAGCGTCCAGAATTCACAGGAGTGACAAACTTTTTTTGTAAGGAACTTGTTATGTTCCACCATTTACTTGGAGAGCGTCAGACTTGATTATTACGTGTAGGAAAGTATTCTACACACATATATCCTAACATAGAATAGATATAGTGGGACGCCGTAAACATCCACTCACCCATGGCAAATAATACTTTGCCAACTGAGTATTAATGAAGTCTCAGAATGCTTCACATTTAGAGAATTCAAGTCATAATGTGGCATTAGAAATCTATCTCCCCGTCAGGAGTTTTATTTTCACATTGTTAATATTCAAAAATAATCGTCCAACTTGAGCACGCTCGTGGCCCTATTTAACTGAATCTAGAAATATTTTCATCCAGGGGTATAGCTTTAAAAGGAAGTTATGAAGTCTGAGGAGAGATAAGCTCTAAGAACAATATATTTGACTTGTTAAGATTAAGCATGTCATTAATAAACTTTCACTTAAAGGTAAAAAAAAAAATCCTCAAAATCTTGGTATCATTTCCAGACTGTCCTGTCAGCATCACAACTTACAGGAAACGCTTCATCTTCCCATACAAACCCTGTATTTACTCACAACCCTAGCAGACTTGGGGGAAGAAAAAAAAAACCCACACCATTTTAGAATGAGTTTGCTTTTTTACATTAACCGGTAGAATATCTGAGAAAGCGTCCTAAGCAAATGAGCAACATGTAAGAAACTTGACAACAGTGAGCTCAGAAACTTTCATTCTCATTTTGTCCACGTCAAGAACTGGCCGCCGCATTACTTTCCTTTGCTGCCCCTCGCATTTTTAACTCTGGCAGCCTTTTCTAAATGATCAACTTTTCCTAAAACCAGCAGGAAAGTAACATGATGCCAGCGAGATCCATAGGTTTTTAACTTAAGAGCTGGACGACTTTGAAGAGTGGTTAGAGGTTCCTATAGTATTTTTGCTTTCAACAATCAAATTTTAGCCAACTACCAGGCCTAGAGTTATCATTTCTTTGTAATTCTCTCCCCGGCCCTATCTGGAGAACCCTTTGTATACCTATTTTCCCTCTCAGACCCTTCCCTGTTCACCTGGTGCATTTACAAAAGTTCAATGAATCTACAAAAGTTCAATGAATCGGCCCAACTTCTCTGTGATTTCACTTCTCCGCTACGCTTCTCACTTCACTTACCTCACTTAAGACTCTAGCCGTGATTTTCCAAAATAGGATAAGGAGGAATATTCTATCATAATTTTGATTCATCATTAAAATCCATCGCTCTTACTCAAAAACTTTCAATAGTATCAATTCTGAGGCCTAAAAAGATATGAGGAAGTAAAGCAAGACCTCAAATTTAATCAGTCCAAGATTCCCTCTGCAACCCACCAGTCCTTCTCGCCTTCAAACTTAAATTGCTTTAGAGTCTTAAGGCCATAAAACGGTTACTGACTTCCCTGGGGAAAGGGGGAAACACCACCATCTCACACAGGTACTAACAAAAAGGCTTTCCCAGCCACAAAAACAGCTTTGCACTTCAAACAGCTCCCACCTCCGCCTCACCCTCAAATTATTCATGGGGTCCTATAATCCTGGAGTTATTTGAAGGGACAGCGATGTTTGCCTTGGCCTTTCAAAGATGCGTTTCTCTGGAACCCAAACAGGAACTAGACAGAAGGCGAAGCTCCCGTCCGCCTGGACGTCCCACCGCTGTCAGGCATTTAATCACCGTCCAGTGTCCGCTGACCCGAGACACATGGCGCATCATCCGCACCGCAGAGGAAGTCTGCCCCTTCCTCAGCCCCTACGGAAGCGCCTGGGCTGCAAGGCCCTGCCACATGGCACAGACAGGGCACAGACCCCTCGGCCAAGCTGCCCTGAGCCGCGCAGAGGCGGGTGCATCAGGGGATGCGACACCCTCCTTCTCCAGCCCAGCTGGGCCTTTAAGGCAAAAAGTTTGAAGCCTGGCTTTGCAAACTCTTCAAAGCCAACGCCAGTCCTGCACGGTTTTCCCACTTTGGGGACCACACGAAGGCCCCTCTCTGAGACCCTCCCAACCCTCCCAAGTTGGCCCAACTTACTACTCTGCATGCTGGTGCCTAGTCTGCTCCCCGCTTGTCAGGAGCCCCAGAAAACTTGCAGCAGCAGCGGCGGCGGCGGCGGCGGCGGCGGCGGCCCCTCGGGTCCAACCACCTCCAGCTCCTCCGCTGCGCCCGGTAGGAGAGAATTAAAATCAGCCAGAAAGAGACAGCGAGGGGGAGTGGGGCTGCGAGGGGGAGGGGGCACCGGCCTGAAACTTCTTTTTTTGGCAAATGGGGATTTGTTTTTCCTCCTCCCTGGCGGCTGAACTTGACCCTCCTGACTCCAGGGGCTACTGCAGTTTGAAGTCGCTCGTTTCTAAGGCTCAGTTGCCTCAGACCCACCAAAAGGAGGAGAGGAAGGGGGGGAAAGAGAGCAGAAGAGAAGAAAGAAAGAAAGAAATCACACGCGCAAAAAGGAAGAAAGAAAATGCATGTGAAACCCGAGAAGCCTGCGCTTGGCTTTCTGCACTCTCCCTCTGCTTTTTTTTTTTTTTTTTTCAAAGAAAGTCACTTTTAATTCCCAGGGCTCCCCGCTCGCGATCGCCCACATTTTGCGCACACACGCGCGGGCGCAGCACTCGCGTCGCGGCGCCCCGGGCCCGGCCGAGGGGCGCCCGCGCCCCCCGTGCCCCCCGCGGCCCCCGGCCCCGCGGCCCGCCCGGGCCCCTCCTTACCTGTTGATTAATCGTCAAGAACACCCTCGGCAGCCCGAAAGATGGTGGCGCGGCGGCCAGAGCCATGAACCGTCTTCTGTTGTTTGCAGAGTTGATCTTGGATTATTGGGGGGGAGGGGGGGAGAAAAAGGTCTTTCCTGCCTCCCCCCCTTTCCCTTCCCTCCCCCCCTTTATAAAAAAGAGAGAGAGAGAGAGAGAGAGAGAGAGAAAGGAAATAGAGCAAGGATGTGCCCGGTGCCGGGTGGGAAAGGGGAGGGGGTGTTGTTTTTTGTTTAAAAAAAAAAAAATAGGAAGGCGAGAGAGCGATCGAGAGGACGCGGGGTCTGGAGAAACGAGCAGCACCAAAAAGAGGACGCTTGAGATTGCAGTGAGATCGGGTCTTTATCAGAAATGTTATCGCTTGTCAGGACCTCAGTCTCCGCGCATTACGTCAGTTTCAAGACACCAACACTATTAATATCAAAGGAGCCTTCGCGGAGGAAAGCGCCACCCCAGACCGAGCTCCCTTAA